CCCCCCCCCCCCCCCCCCCCCCCCGCATGTGTGCCGCAGACCTTCGACCTGCCGCTGCCCAGGGGCACGGCGCACGCCCGGGTGGCTCAGCTACTGGACCCCCACATGGAGCCGGTCATGGCCGGCATGCTGTCCATGCGCCGGTGGCCGGGCTTCGTGCACCTCAGCGCGCCGGGCGGGGGGCTCCGCCTGCTGGGCGTGCCGCCGACGGTCCTGCTGCAGCTGCCGCTCCTGGGCCCGGCCATTCGCCTGCCGGTGGCCGACGCCATCAGCCCCATGCACCTGGATCACAGCGGGATCCAGGCCCCGGAGGAGACGCTGCGCCTGCTGCGGCGTCACTGCCTCGACGACGGCCCGGGCCTCTTCCTGGACCAGGGGCTCCACATGCTGTACGTGGCCCAGTGGCCGCCGGTGCCGCCCGGGGGCGCGGGCCACCCTGGTCAGGCCCCCCCCCCCCCCTCCCCCCCAGCTGGCCATGCATTCTGACACTCGTCCAATGGCCCGGCGCAGGCCGGCCACCGATCCCTCGCCGGAGCTGCCCCCGCACCACCTGCTCCTGGGCCAGGATCTCCACCGCCAGCTGCCGGGCCCCATGCGCCTGAAGTACGCCTGGCCGCCGGAAATCGCCATGGCCACCTGCTTCCTGTCGATGGATGAGGAGCGCCGCCTGCCGCCGCTGGACCCGGAGCAGCTGGAGCGGCAGCTGTACCAGGCCCTCGGCCCGGCCTCGGTACTCCAAACGTACCAGGTCCGTGCCCGGGAGGCCGCCACACACGCACGCACGCACGCACGCACGCACGCACGCACCGGCACCCCTCGCCACGGCCCCCCTCTGACCCTGTGCTTGCCTCGGCTGCCGGCAGAAGTACCGGATCACGGTTCCCGGCGAGGATTCGCCGGAGCAGCGGCACGAGGCCTTCCTCGTGCCCACCAGGCAGATGGACATGCACAATGTTGCCCGGCCGGCCGGGCTGCTGGTCCCGCGGCTGACGCGCATCACCTTCCGGACCCTCAGCCGCCAGGTGGACCTGGGCCCGGAGCCGCACATGCTGGCGGTGCGCTGCGGCCCGGAGCGCATGGTCTTCCTGGGCGCGGTGTTTGCCCCGGCGCCGACGCCCCTTCACCCGGGGCTGCGGCTCCCGCGGGATGTCTTCCAGTCGCTGTGCGAGTGGCGCCGGGCCGCGGCCACGCCGCCGGGGTGCCTGTTTTTCCTGTGCCACTCCCGGCTGTTTGTGGCCCGAAGCGCCGACGTGCTCCACGCCTCCCGGCGGGTGGTCCACCTGGCCGAGGACTTTCGCGCGCACATCCCCACCTGCCCGGAGGAGGCGTCGCCCCTGCTGCTCGTGGACCCGCCGCTGGTGGCCATGGTCCACATGCGCGTGGAGCTGGCCGGCACCGAGGTGCCCCTGCACCGCCTGCCGGCCGCCCTGCGCGCGGCCTTCCCGGACGGCAGTGTGGCCCTGCTCGAGCGCCGGGCCACCCCCGCGGCCACCTTCATGCCGGAGCTGCTGCTCGATGCCGGCCACCGCGCCCTGCCGTGCGGGCTCCTGCAGCCCGGCAGGACGCGCCTGCGCCTCCACCTCCGGGGCCCGGGCCTGGCCTCGCCGCTGAGCATCGCCTACACGGACGACGCGCCCCCGGGCCATTGACCCCGGCAGGGCCCCAAATACACGCCACAGCCATTGTCCCCCTCCCCCCCTCCCCGGGCCCACACCGAACACCGGGTGCCGGGCCATCCCCGGCCGAATGCGCCGCGGCCATCGGCGGACCACACTGCCAACGCACATGGCCTCCAGGCGGCGGGGCCAGGGGCCGGCCTGCTCGCGCCCCCGAGGCAGGACACAGCCCGGGGGGCGTTTCATCCGGCCTCTGCGGGGGCGCCGGACCGCCGCC